TATTTATATTAATTGACTGCCCAAGGTGCTAATAAATAATGCCATCTTGGTTATTGATAACTAAATAATGGTGCGTTCAACTTATGCTTGTATTGATTGACATGTAAGGCAACTGCTTGATGAGTTGGTCTACCGTAGAAACCGCCCAAAAACGGGCGTTTTCTCGTAAGAAGAGAATCATTTCCAGCGCAATGGGCTGCAAGCCATTCGTTCATGCCGAGTGGCCTGCGGGCAACACTTAAGAACTGCTCCACCTTGTTCGAGGTAGCTGGTATGCTACCAACGAGACGGTAACCAGCCTCTCTAGCTTCGAGACAGCGGCGCTTCTTGAGGCGCTGCTCAAGAGACTCCACCTCGGCACCTTCGACCTTGTTGTTCGAGACCCGGCCCGACAGGAGAAAAGGACGAAGGGCCAGCTTCTCTACAGTGGTGAGGCACTGTAGAGAAGCTGGCCCTTCGTCCTTTATTTTAGCACCCGGACACAGCCCGATTCAAAGTCAGGGCTGTGAACAATGCTCGCCCGAGGGCCTGTATACATATATAGTAGTCAGTAAATAGCACAAAAGCAATAGTAACTTGACAAAACGTCCCGATGTGATGCATCATCGCGAAAGTTGACCCCCAGCGAGTATCCTGGCGAATTATTGGTCGAAGCGGAGTCTCAAACCTAGTAAAATACAGAAAATAGTATTAGTCAAACGGATATTTGTGCTAATATCGATAGTAATATCAATTGTACTTACCGAAGTTTCGCTTACTGTTTCAGCGTCCGCAACTTCGACACCAGGGCTTGCACAGCAGATGAGTCTTCATCGTGTTAGTGAGGTGTTGCTGGACGGCCCGGGTAAGTCGGTGACTAGCGCAATTGATTAACGGCACTTGCATAATGCTTGTCAGAGTTCTGTTCGCCGAATCGGTGTCTCCAAGCAAATACTTGCAGCAGCTTAGTTCTTTCCCAAAATCTCGTTCGAGCATACCAGCCAGAAACTCCGGCAGACAGGTCCCTGCCCGGCTCGTTAATGACAAGGTCCATGCAGGAGCGTTGAGCTTTGGACCGCTTTGTAGGCAATGGCCTGATCACAACCGATCGTTTTATTGCGCTCTGAGAGCGCGTTTTTCTCGCAATCGACTCCGAGGCGGACATAGCATTTGGTGTTGCTATTGCGGCTGGGGTCGCAACAGGTCTTGCCGATGATGTACTGGCAGGAGTGGAAGCGGGGTTTACCCCAGAGGATATTAAGAGCGGTGATGCCGATGGACCCGCGCTGCTTGATAGTGTTCGCATTTGAAGAGGTGGCTACCAATAATTACAGCGGGCAGCGTCTCGGTGGCGCTGTTGTTGTAGGCGGCCCTGCAGAACTTGCACTCAGTATGATTGTACCCACCTTTTGCCCTACCGAATTCGGTTAGAGGCACAAAGTGCGCTCCTTCTGGGCATCCTGGCCGACCTCCTCGATGACCAGGCATCTTCTCGTTGAGCGTGGGCGAGATTGCGTAGTGAGCACTAGTATAATACTTGAAGTTAGTAAACTAACTTAAACAGTGTGGTCCACTCTTAAAACGTGGGCTCCCGGCCCGGTCATAGCCGAACGGCAGAAGCACCGTGACGAAAATACGTTCGGCCAAATGATAAACAGAAAAGTTTCGGCCGCACTGCCAACACTATGTGGTGCTCTATGACTGGGAGCTATTACGTATAACACAGCGCTGCCGGTCTTCGAGAAAGGCCATGTCATCCTCCACAAAAACTCGCAATTTTTGATTTTTAAAATTTATTTAAACTTAAATTTGATGTCTTCCACCACCACAGCTTTGACATTATCATCATATTTTCCGCAAGAGCTCGCGATATTCCACCACCAATGCTTCGCGTCGTTGACACTATCCCCAATCTGTGAACGACCGATGGTCTCAAGTATCTTGAGTCAAGTTTTTTTGGAGGTAGGCCTGGGAGCAAGTTCGGCAAGTTGGTTGGAATCCCTCTTGGACATGGGCTGTGAAAACTGCGTATTGTAGTTCTAGCAATCGTAAACCCGGCCGATCAGCGATACCAGGCGACAATTTGTTGTTATCGCCTCACACTACTCTTCCAATCTACCTCGATGATGCGATCGGATACTTTGCTGTAAGCTACTCGGTCTCTGATTGGTCCATTCATTTAACACCAAATTTGCACACATTTCCGCCAGCAATCTCCATTTCACTGTCATCATGGCGGAGCAGCTCGCTAAACGCCTCAACGGCTTCGACCAGCCCACGGTTTGGCATGAGTTCACGCCTCTGGCTCTGGAGCATAAAGCTGTGAACTTGGGCCAGGGTTTCCCGGACTGGCGCTGCGAAGATTTTGTCAAGCAGGCGGCCAAGGACGCGCTGGATGCCGATTTCAACCAGTACGCGCGACCACAGGGCCACAAAAAGCTCGTTGAGGTGTTGGCTAAAAAATACTCGAAGGAATTGAACCGCGAGATCAACTGGACCAATGAGATTGCTGTTGGTGTTGGCGCCACGGAGACCATCTACGCTGCTGTAAACTCTTTCGTGCAGCCTGGAGACGAGGTGGTCGTGTTTGAGCCAGCATTCGATATCTACACCGCCCAGGTGCAGATGGCCGGTGGTGTGTGCCGTTATGTGCCGCTGCACGTGCGCACATGCGACCAGACTGGTGCCAAGGAGTTTTACATTGATGAGCCCACGCTGGCGGCAGCGTTCTCGTCGAAAACGCGAGCGGTGCTGTTGAACAACCCACACAACCCGACGGGTAAAGTGTTCACGGAGGAAGAGCTGGAAATCATTGCCAAGTACGTCCGTCAGTACCCGCGCGTCATCATTATTTCGGACGAAGTGTACGAACACATTCTGTTCGATGGCAAGAAGCATGTGCGGATCGCCAACATTGACGGCATGTGGGAGCGTACTCTGACGGTCTCGAGTGCAGGCAAGACGTTTTCCGTAACTGGATGGAAGGTGGGTTGGGCCATTGGCCCCAGCAATTTGATTAAGGGCATCTACCTTGCAAACAACTGGATCCAATTCAGTGTGGCCACACCTTTTCAGGAGGCTGTCGCCAACATGCTGGAGCTCGCCGAGAAACCGTACAAAGGATTCCCGACTTTCTATGCCTTCGTCGCCGACCAGTACAAGCAAAAGCGCGATCGTCTCAGCCGCGCGTTGGCTGATGTTGGTATCATCCCGATCACGCCAGGCGGTGGCATCTTCCTGTATTCGGACATTTCTGCCGTTAAAGTGCCCGAAAGCTTTATTGAGCCGGGTATGTCGTACGACTGGGCGTTCTGCCGCTGGCTTACCATCACCAAGGGCGTAACGGCGATTCCAACCTCTGCTTTCTTTTGCGCCGAAAACAAATCAGAGGGCAGCCAGTGGGCACGTTTTGCGTACTGCAAGACTGACGAAGCCATCGAAGAGGCCATTAAGCGCCTCGTCAAGATCCACGAGCCATAGGAGGCACCAGCGAAGTAGTGAAGTCGAGCGTGCTACTTGCGTACACTTACTAGCTGGTACCATGCTTGCCACGTTAAAAGGCTGGAGAAAACTGATCGAGTAACCAGATTATCGATCGATGCGCGCAACGTGTCAAAACATGAAAGCTGTTGAACTTGCCTATCATTTTGATTGCCATCCAGACTGGATTCCAGTAGCCATGTATAGCAGATCACCCGAGCTATTTGCAGAGCATCATTCTTTTCATGATTGATTTGCTGCCCGCTTCCTCGTGTCGGTAGCGGCGTTTGCTCTCTCTGCATACAGTACTTATGGCTGCTTCAACATTTCTCTTAGCGCTGTTAGTTGTGTCCGGTGTTCGAGGCCAGTCAAGCTCATCTTCGTCCAGCTTGAAAGGAGCAGAAGTATCGGTGGTGAATACTACAAACATCACCGACACCTGCAGCCAGGACGAGTACACCAGTGACTGCTGGTATCCTGTGGACTGCAAGATATGCCTCTCACGTACTGGTTGTGCTGTCGAAGTCTCAACTGGTCGCTGCGTATCGAGCTCCAGTGCATTCGTAACTGAGTCTTCTTCGAGCGAGCTTTCTAATGCACCGTACTTCATCAGCGGGGAGGTCAAGTACTGCAGCAAAATCGACCCAGCATGTTTCACGTGCCGCCGCGGCAACGCACCTGCAATTTGCTTGGGCTCCTCCGGTTGCGTTTGTGTTTCCCAATGCGAGCACATCTCGACACAACCCACGAAATGCAAGCCTGGAGCCATCAGTAGCGTGAGCTACGGCGCCCTCATTGCAGCGGCGGCCGTGCTGTTTCCGCTCGTCATGTACATGCTCGTCAAGGGCAGTAGTATTAGCCGCCTTCTGCGTCGAAAAGAGAAAACTCAACGCAATCTGCCCGGCCGCCTTAAGCTCGATGCCTGGCGCAACCACCTCAACGAGCGCGCCGATCCTGTGAACGAGCGCTTTACCGATCTCGAGTTGCGCTCGTGCTTCGTACCCATGGAAAGCGGCAGACGTCCGCACCTGCGGGCTGGGGACGACGCTGCAGAGACCGGCGATCACGTTGAAGCTGGTGACAGCGATGTCACGCGGGCCGTCGCTGTCACTGACATGCCATTCTCGCCGACTGAGGACCGCGCTAGAGAAGAGAAGATCGAGGATCAACCGGGAGCGGAACTAGTGTAGACATACCTAGAGCACACTTGTAGACGTATGAGCGCAATGAGCTTTGACCATGGGAAGTGCTGTTGATCGAAGATCATTAGCAGCAGCTGGACAAAACATTTGCCAATTCTCGTTGAAGAAACAATTATTGCGCACTATTCTGATTATGAATCAGCCCACTCTATGTTAATCCGATTGCGCGTCACTTCAAGGGTATCACAGTTGAGTGGCCTTGTGCTACTTGCCCTTTCCAATTTATGCCACTAAACTGTTATAGCAATTGTTTAAGTTTGAAAATAGCTGTACAGACTGAAATGCTACATTATTTTGCAGAGTCTAACCGTAATCAGTATTCGGCGCGTCACGACGATTAGCACCAATCAGATCTACCAGGAGATGGGTACAGCATCCCTTCAAGGTCAGTACTGTACTTTTGGTGATGTACATTTTTGGGGGAGAAGTTAGAAATCCACCGCACTGAACATGCGGCCAACGTTGACACTTTCCATTTTGAAAGATCGGCGTGAAGGTACGCAAACTTGGTAATACGGCAATGATCCGCTTCAAGACAACGGCAATACTGGCTGCGCTGGCGCTCGGCTCAGCGCTTGGCGACACGTGCAGCCTGATCAACGACGCCTTCTCCGCATGCCAGCTCTCCGCCATGTGCTCTCAGTGCGTCGCGACCTCGGTACGTTCGCTCCTACTTCCCCCCCTCGATATAATGCCATGCAACTAATTTCCTTTCCCCTTTCACTAACAGGGATGTGAGTACAACCTCATGGACGGCACGTGCACGACCGCGCCAGTTTCCAACTCGTCAGCGGCAACGACATACTGCAGCGCTAGCGACAGCGTCTGTGCCTCCTGTACTGTTAGCTCCTCCAAGCCGACGTGCACCGGCGAGGACAGCACTTGCATTTGTCCGTCACTTTGTGATATCGTGTCACCGGCTTCGTCTTCCGATGAATGTAGTAGTCGCAGCGGCGATACTGCTGCCTCCACAAAAAGCGACAGCCAGGGCTTCGATATGATGTACCTGGCCGTGGCATTCGGCGCGCTATGCATCATGGTCATGCTTTACATGCAGCGAAAGTGCGCAGAGAAACGTGGGGAACATCAACTGAGCCTCGTCCGACAAGAATTGGAGTCGAGGCGGGAGCAACGTCGTCGCGAGCGCGAGATGCTCCGTGCGAGACGCCCCCAGCTGTCACTGAACTTGGAAACGTGGCGCGATAACATCGAGCTGCACAAACCACAAATGTCTAAGGTCGAGCTCGAGACGTGCTACTACCTCATGATGCAGGACGACAAGAAAAAAGATGGCAAAAAGAGCAGCGAACAGTGGGACAGTGCTTCGGATGGAGATGTGAAGGTTGGAATAGGCGCAACTACGTCTCCAATTGCCAGTGGAGTATCGGATCCAACATCACTTCAGAGTCCTATGCCATCGATGGCTCCGTATTTTGCTATGCGTGAGGAGTACCCGAGCAACACAAAGACGGACGGCTCTGACAGCGGTTCCGAAATTGCTTCCATAGCGGACGAGGACGAAGAGAAGTATGAGGTTGCCATCGATGTTGATCGTTCCGCTGCCAGGAGATAACTTACTTTACGTTATGGTGTGGTGTAATTCTCAGAAAGTGAGATTTTGGTCGAAGTTGCAGCATCAGCTTAACTTGATATGAAAGCAAAATGCTGGGTCACGAGTACTGTGCATTAACTCCGTAGCTTGCGGGTTTTGCTTTGACTATAGACACGATACATCCCTCGTCAGGATGACTGAGCCCAATGCTGCAACAGCCGAAGACAGCTTCATCTGATGCCTGATGACGAGCTTTCCGGTGTTGCAGCGACATAGTGGGCAGCTCCAGCGCAGCTGGAGTACACAGGAAAGCCGCCCTCCGTGGGACCACAAGCTGGCACGAAATCAAAGTTATACTCCCCACCGGGGAGTCCCCGGCTACGGCTGAGCGCTCGCTCAGCTAACTAAACGACATTCAGCGTCGCTGAGTTGCCGGTTGAGTTAAAGTGGTGTATTAATAACGATCAGGTTGACTGAATATGGTCCCAAAAAAATGACTAAATGTTTGATCGGACCAATCTGGTCATTTAAGCAAAGAATGCAGTCGTTTTCCGGATAGCGGGTTCGCACGCCGAAGGCGACAACAGCATGGATGGCTGCGGCGACGACAGGTTCGAATAAGCCGCTGTGGGATGCTAGATTAGCGATTTTTAACTGATCTCGGGCATGGCTTGCAGTAACCCTGCCAGTTGGACCTCTGCTTAAATATCAAAGTATGACGTTTTTTTTTGTTTTTTCTTGCCATATCAAATTTATTCATGCTGTCGCTAGATTTTCTTGCTGTTGCCCCGCGCTTGGTTTCGATTATTAAGCATTCAAGTGCTCTTTGGCGATGAACGTCACGCCCTTTCAAGCCAACCCGATTTGGTTTGCAATAAAATGACGAAACGGTAGTAATTACTCTTTGTCGGAGCGTATCGTGTATCAATGGAGCCTCTGTCAGCCATGGGTGGCCGCGTAGTGCCCAAATTGCATTTGATCAACGTTGGCGCCGACTCCGATACCCGCTACTCCAACCACACTCCTAGTGGTGGATCGGTTAGCGAGCGCCTTTCTCATCGACCATCTCGACGGCAACCAGAAACACCGACAACGTCGAGGGTGGGGAAGGTCATGCCTACGCGTGTGTCGGGGGCTTCCATGGAGTTCCTGGAGACTGCTGTACTCCCACCTATGCAGCTCCGACCAGCAGCAGCCACGCCAAGTACCAGCTCGTCATCATCTCGTCAAGCCAAACAAGCGATAGAAGCCGATTCGACTTCAGGCAGCAAGAATCATCGAGACAGTGAGGCGGAGTTCCAAGTGCTACACCCAGCAATTGATAAAATGGCAGACGAACGTGGTGAAGACTTGGCGCGTCTCTTGCTGAGTCGATGGTCGATTCACTCGGGCGAGGAGCAATTCGCTTCGATATCGCTGTTTTGTGAGATGAAGTTGAACGAAGCGAAGCGCATGGCATCGTGGGCTGAAGCCCCCAATCGATTCTACACCGTTGTGTGCTGCCAGTTACTCGAGAAGTACATTTCACGCATAGCGACGAGTAAAACATCTCACAACAACGTCGATCCAGTGGCGGCTACAGTTGGTCAGAGCATCGCGTTCTTACGAAGAATTCACGCCGAGTTGGTTGCGTCGATCTTCTTGCCCCCGACACAAACTCAAGTCCAAGATCACGCGGTCACAGGGGGTGGACTCGACTACGAACACCGCACACCCTACTTCACGGTACTGCCAATTTTGCATTAACTTCTTTTCTAAATTCCAACTTACGTTGATTTCTCGTCCAGGAATTCAAACGTCTTCGCCGTAAAACACAGGCACTAGTTACAACCGTAAGAGAACGCGAGAGTACACGGACGACACGTCAACAGCTACCCGGTAGAGTCAGCAAGCTCATAACTTATCTGGCCAAGCGACAAGATCGGCAAACTCTTGCTTTAACTTTCCGTGGTTGGGCGAACTCTATGGCTGCGCAGCGTCAGATTCGAGCTGTAAGCAATTCTCAGCTTTGGTTGCAATCTGTTCCTTACTTTCACTATATTGCTGTATCCAGCTCAAAATCCAAGCTTTTCAATGCATGCAAAAGACTAACCTCACCACGTGGTTTCGTGTCTGGCGGATCGAAGCACTAAGGAGAGCGTATCACCGAGAAAGTGCCGACTATCAAACGATGTTATCTGTCACAGCTGCATCCTTGAGTAGGAAGGATATCGCGATCGCGGAGGCCGAAGCTAAAGTCAAATCTATGGCAAGGATTATCGACAGCTTAACCGAATCCAACAAGCAGCTTTCGTATCGTGTGGATCACTTAGAAAACCTTTCAGCCGCTGCAGCCTTCGCTAGCGGCGGAGATGGAGGCGCTAATAACCACGGCTTAAGTGACAACGACAATGGAAGGCGACACGATAGTGACAACGGCAACTTCTCTCCTGGACGGAGACGCGAGGCAAACTATGAGCGCATCGACACTATGCTCAGCCAAGATGATGAACGCATGGATCGCACTAACCGTATGCTATTAGAAACCATGTTCGGAATGGCACGTATGGTTGAAACGTGCGCTATTCAAATGTCCAAAGACATGATGGACTCGCTCGAGTACCAACTTGACGGAAGTGTACTTCAGCACCTGGCCGAAATGGTACGTCACAGTGTTTCACTTTAAGCTTGGCTCTTCAGGTTAAATTGTTGTGGTGATCGTGGATAGATCCAGACAGAGAATGAGCTCAAAGCGAAGGCAGACGCAGCTGAAGGCTCGACGAGCCTCTCCTCCATACACTTCAGCAAAAGTATCGGTGGCCGCACATTGACAGCATTAACCACGACTCCCTCTCGTGCAGCAGCAGCAAGACCAGCACGTCCCAGTGCTGTGACTGTCCGCGATCTGGCTCAAATGCCAATCGATACATTGCTGTTATACTGGTTCCGCATGCACTTGAGTTTATCGTCGTCCGTGGAGAAACCTGCCGATCGAACCGTCAAGAATTTCACATCAGATCTCGCCGATGGTCGACGCATTTCCTTCCTGCTGCATCGGCTATTTCCTTCGTGGTTCGACGCCTCGGTACGGGTTCTTCCTATGCCGTATACTTGCTTGAAAGTAGGCTCACTGCTTCTCTGTAGATGGTTCACGAGCTCGACGTCGATCAAAGACTGCAAAACATCGCCACTTTCCACGAACGTGTTCAGCCACCATTACCACAAGTTGTCACCAGCGACAGCATCCACGCAGGTAGCGGCACAGAAAATATCACTTTCGTTGCCATGCTCTTCGGCACTGCCGTGTAAGTTCCCTGAAACCAGACGACACTAGCATTCATCACCTCACCTGACTTCACGCTGATCTTTAATCCAGGGGTACCGTTCGCAAGCTCAACATGGAGAAGCAGCGTGGGGATTTCCTTAATATCGTCACAGCCTGGAGGCGTGTTCGTGGTCTCCTACTCGAGGTGAAACGGATGAACGACAACTACGACGCGGGGATGGTTGCTCATCTTCTCAAAGAGATGCGAACGTGCGAGACGCTCTTCAAACAATTGCATTCCGAACTGAATCAAATCGCCGTGACATCGAATGAAGCTTCCAGTGCGCTCTCGCAGATCGCTTACAAAGTGCTTGCGATCACCTGGTCTTGTGTCCGTGCACGCGACATTCACCCGAACGCTCCTCTGGGACTTGTGGACGAGCGAACACACGAGCGTATACGCGAGTTCTCCCGTGTCGACAGCTCTTGCATTCGCAATCTCCTCGTTCACGACACCGAGATCGCTTTCAATCTGCTTAATCAATCTGTAGGCCGCAAAGGCTCCAGCACGACACAAGTTATGGTTACTGGGTCCACCATGCCACCGTTCGTACCCGAGCGAGATGTTGACATTGCTACAGCTGCTGTCCGACGTGCTCTGCTTGCTTATAGCAAGGATCTCAACGACATCTTCAAACATTACAGGTGCATTGTTAACACTTTGCTTGCTTGAACCATACTGACTAGAACTTGTGGCACTGATGCAGTGCGAGTGGCGGGGCTGGGAGCCTGGCGGCAATGAGCTTGACGGAGTTCAACAAGCTCATCAAGGACTGCTTCACTGGAGATAAACACATCACTCAACAAGTGGTTGATAACGTCTATAGAGCTGCTCTACACCTGGATTCAATTCTTTCTGGGGCAACGAATGAGCTTCCCTCGGGGATAACTGCAACATCTGTGATCCCAACAAAAGCGGCCGAAAACGGCTCCGATGAAGTGACCGAGGCGGAGCCAGAACTATCTGGTCGACAATTTGCAGATGCCCTTGTGCGACTAGCCGCGATAAAGTATGCCCCAATGCCAGCACCACGGGGTCCAGCACGGGGAGGCCATGCTCGTGCAGCACCAACGCCGACACTACCGCTGGACGAACGTTTTCGGTTGCTTATGGAACAAGATATTCTCCCAAACGCTCTGCGATCTCAGCGGGAACTCTTCCGTGCCGAAGTCGCACAACCAAAAGTACGCGAGGTCTTCCAGCGGCATAAGCCTGTTCTCCAGCGTATTTTCCGCTATTATGCATCCATGCACGCCATACGCGAGCAGAACTCGACCCTTTCGCTGTCTGCTTTCATTGTCATGGCGCGTGACTGCAAGCTCATCGGAAGCTTTGTGACGGAACATACACTCAAGCAAGTGCTCGTTAATCTGCAACGTGATGATGGCAGTTCTCCAGCACCAGCAACCGGAACAATAAGCACTGAAGCCGAACTGGAGATGCTGCGCGCAGACTTCAGCGACTTCCAAGAGGCACTTGCTGCACTCACCGAGTATGTGATCTGCAATCCATACGTCGCGTTACACAAGCGCGTCGATCAATTCTTGCAGGAAATGTTACTTCCCCGTGCTCGTCAAAAGAAGAAACCCGGTTATTAAGCAGCTCCTGAAGAACACACTACAAAATATAGACCCACACAAAATTTCGCCTACAACGCCGCACACGATTCCACTGCTTGTCCTTCAATGGTGCCACTTACAGCGCACCAATTTTTCTATTGTCCATTCTGCGTTTAAAGGCTTCGACGACGTTGTGCAGCAGCATGGCGATCGTCATTGGCCCCACGCCACCGGGCACAGGTGTTAGAGCCCCCGCCACTTCACAAGCTTCAGGAAGGTTAACGTCGCCAACAAGCTTGAAGCCGTCAGCGTTCTCCTCTCCGTGGAATTCACCATCCACATCGCGAACGAAATTGATACCAACGTCAATAACGGTGGCACCAGGTTTTAACCACTCACCCCGCACAAGATAGGGCTGCCCACATGCTGCCACTACCACATCCGCTTGACGCACGTACCTCGGCAGATCCACCGTCTTGGAGTGGCACAGAATCGTCGTAGCGTCTCGCTTCTGCAGCAGCATGCTCACCGGATTGCCCACCAAGTTGCTACGGCCAATGATCACCGCCGTTTTCCCACGCAATGGGGTCTGCTGTTCGTCCAGTAATGCCAATATCCCTTTCGCTGTGCATGGGATCAAGTACGGGTATCGTCCGCGCATGGCCAGCTCACCGGCGTTGAACGGGTGTAGGCCGTCCACGTCCTTGTCGTGCTGGATACGGTCGATGATCTGCTGTGCATTCAGCTGTGTGCCCGGTAGTGGTAGCTGCACTAGGATGCCGTCGATGGTTGGGTCCTCGTTCAGCTCCTCTACCTTTTGCACAACGGTGTCCTATGGGCACAATTCAGTGTCAACTTTTTGTGTGGTGACAATTCTCTGTATGGGCAGCTACCTGGGAGACATCCTCATCAAAGAGGAAGTTCTCAGAGCGGATGCCTGTGCGACGGCAGGCTGCGTTCTTGTTGCGCACGTATAGCGCCGAGTCTTTGCGATCCCCTACCATGATGAGCCCAAGTGCTGGTGCCTGCTCGACGGGAGCGTTAGAGAGGATGAACTTGCAATGCACTGGAGAAGAGTGACACGCACCCTTCCATGTTTGGCCGTTAGCGCCGCCACGTCGCCCTTGAGCGCTGCACGCAGCGCCTTGGCGATGACCTTGCCATCGATCACCCGCGCTGCCATTTTTTCGGTTTTGTGGCTCTTATTTTAACAATATCATCCATCAGACGAAAATTTCTTGTTTTACAACATGAAATTCACATTGCAATTAGATTTGAAAGCATACTTTAGCCGACATGACGCAACAGGTCCAGGTGGCGCGGACTGCTGCCGTGTGCGTGGAGGCACAGCTCCAGGGCGGTATTACTGTTGGTGAGCGCTGCGCCGTGCACCCTGGCGCATCTCTTCGCTCAACAGGCGGGCCTATTGTCCTGGGCGAGCGCTGCTTTGTGGAGGATGGCGCTGTGCTGGCCAACGACACGCCTGAAGACATGAAGATCGGCAGTGATAATCTGTTCGAGGGCGGCTGTGAGGTGCGAAGCCGAAGCGTGGGTAGCGGCAATTGGTTCGAGGCCAAGGCGCGGGCATTGGAGGGCTCTGTGATTGGCAACAACTGCCTCATCGGTAGTGGCGTCGTGGTAGCTGCTGGCGAGCGTGTGCCGGACAACTCGATCCTCGTCGCAGTGCAGACGCCGCAGGGTGACACACGCCGCGTCGTAAGAGAACAGAAGGATTATCTCGTCAAGACACACTCGGCTCTCATTCAGAAGTACGTCGATATTTTCCCAAGAGGGTCCAAGAGCCCCTACGCCCTTGAAAAACATCACGAACTGCGGCAATAATTTGGAGATTAATATACAAGAGAATAGAGAAAATAGTGGGTGGTGTACATGTCAAGTTGGTCGTTTATTTAACATCATGGCGGTTGGATCCTGGTTTTTTAGTGAACGGCCGCGATTGACACATGTAGCAATTTAGGATTGGAGCAGGGCGAAAATGGTGCGAAGATTGTGTGTTGCGGTTGCATTTTTCGCGCTGAGTGTGAGTGGAGAGGACATTGGGAGTGCAAGTGGGGCGGAAGAAAACACGACTGAGCCTGTACCGCAGGTAAATAGAACTCTAGAGGAGCTGCGATTCCCCGTGCTATTTGGCGCGATCGTCAACCGGTCGGTGGTGTTGGAGCATTTCGCAGAGACGCATGATTTACGCGTGAGTAGCATTGAGGAGGAGACGGTTGTAGATTTAGAAGTGGAGCTGGAGGCGGACGCATCGACCGTGAAGAGCTGCAACACGACAGCCAAGCCTTGTTCTGTTGAAGCTAACAATACCGAAATTGACGAAAATGCTCTTCCTCCGCCGTCATTGCAACCGACTGATCGCCTGGTTCGAGTCGATGACCTGAATATGTCCATTCTTTCATTCCAAGACGTGATTGATAGTCCTGTGGGGAGTGTTGCGGTGCTGCCGCTGTTCAAGCCTGTTGGCTCTGCTCGCGTCCTCTCGGGATTTGCGCGTGTGGAGATTATATCACCGAAAATGCTCGAGTTCGAACCTGCTACACCCCAGAGAAAAGAAGTCATTACAGCGTGGGTAGAAGAGAAAGCACGCTTGAAAGCAGAAAGAGAAGCTCGCGAGCTGGAAATCGCGAATAATAAGGTGTTGCAGGAGAAGTTGGCAGAGGAGCGTCGTGTGGCCGAAGGTCTTGCGAGGAAAGAGCAGGAGCTATTAGAGAAGCTAGACAAGGAGGAATACGAGCGGACACGCATGACCCCACATAATCTCGCGACAGGAAAACGCCGGGACGGGTGGGAGTTCCGATATGAGGTTGAGTTTACGACGAAAGGCCCTATCGGACTGTACTGGGATCTAAACACAAGAGACAAAGCTGTAGTGAGTCACTTAGAGCCCAAACTACCCGCACACAAGCTGAATGTGATCGCACCGCGTGACCAACTAATTTCTCTCAATGGAGTTGACACTTCAAAGATGGGACCCGAACAAGTTGTGGAAGTGTATCTGAGCTCGACGTACCCTCGTAAAATGGTGTTCCTGGTTCAAATGTCAGCAGAGCGTGCAGCAGCCAAAACTGCCGATAAAAACCCTGTTAAGCGAGTAGTAATGAACTGGACATTAGCTTTCGATGCTCCAGAGATATTACGGGGTTGGGAAGTTCGACTGCACCTTGCCAGCTGGAGTACCCCACCTGAGATCAATGAAACCAACGCAAGTTTGCCGCTACAACTGGAGTTCGCGGCTCCAATAACTGGCTGCAATCAATTTCCAGAAGCTGCACAATCCTCTAACAATGACACTTCAGGCGTAGTATTTCTCGCTTATCGCGGGGCGTGCACACTTATTGAGAAGGCAACCCATGCTCAAACAGCCGACGGTAATGCTCTTCTAATCGTGAACAACGTTAATGGAGAAGGAAGATTTACTCCTACTGGAACTATTGTGGCAGAACATGTTAATCTCCCCGTCACTATGTAAGATTCGCATGTTATCGCGTTTCACCTGACAAACTAATGCTGTGTGTACTCTGTGCAGCATGGGAAAACTTGATGGAGAGCTTATCATGTCAGTAGTGGAGCACCACAAGACATGTATGTAATGACCCACGAGTGAGAACGTTCTACATGTAGTGAATACGAATTCCTACATGTAGAATTTCTAACATTTTTGTTTTGGCATTCTGGCTGCAGTGATTCGGATCTACGAAGAGAGACCTGATCAAATCCCAGTTCCACTTGTACAGCCCCCGAAGCTTACTAACCAGGAGCTGACGATCGCAAGGGTATGTAAATTGTGATGCAGCATGCTCATGAAATTCACCTTTAATACAACCAATTTACAGTTAATTATGCGTGTGTTTTCCAGGACGTGAAGAAGTCGGGCCGAAATATGACTTTCTGGTATATCAACGATGGAAACTCGAAGAAGGAAAATGGCAGTTTGTCTTCCTTCGCCGAATCGTACGAGTTTCAGGTCCTTCCTGCACTCTTCGGTGGCAAAATCCCCTCGTTACCTTTCCGCATCGTTGCAGCCTATCCACAAGAGACTGCGTGCAATCACAAAGGACTCGGAATCCTCGCCACTCGTGCAGTTGTCGTTGTCAAGCGCGGCGGATGCTCATTTGGAACAAAGCTCAGGTTATAGTTTGGACTGATTGATGAGAGATTCACTTATTCACTAACCTAATGTGTAGAGCGATTCAGCAAGTTGGTGGTGCCGGGATGCTTCTTGTCAACAGTGACGAGTCTCTTATTCCATTGATGACAGACTCAAGGGAGCTAGAAGGACTCGTGATTTGGGGTGCAAGGTCAGTTGTAGTCTCGATAGTTTCTACTTGTTGTTTACAGCTTTGCTGCTTTTTTTTTTTCTCTCTCTACGGGCTAAAGCACTTTTTGATCGCGATGCGTTGCAGCATCAATTTCATGAATGGCACCACAATCCTAGATGTTCTGGCCAAGAGCAAGAACCTCCCAACGCTTGTGAAAATAGCCGCTCGTGAAGATAGTCCAGCGAATGTTACCACTTCCAATTAGTTTTCAAAGCATTCTAGTTGATGACACCGCGCGCCTTGCCACACTCGATGAAAGCATCCACCGCCTTGTCGACGTCTTCAATGCGGTGAGCAGCCGAAAGCTGCACACGGATACGCGCCTGGCCCTTCGGCACAACCTGCAGAGCAAATTCAACAAGTAGAACGGTCAGACACTATCATTTCGCAGTTCATCCGTGAGCGTGAGTATTTGTACCGGGTAGCTGAAGCCAATTACGTAGATGCCGCGCTTGAGCATATCATCAGCCAATTCAGACGCAAGACGGGCATCGCCGAGCATCACAGGGGCGATCGGGTGGTCACTGCATAGTACAAGACATCGTACAACGTTATGAGAGTCAATACAACCTGATCGGAGCAAAAGAAACAGCATTTGCAACATACCGAGATCCCTTGAGAGTGAAGCCAGCGGCAGTCATGCGGTCGCGGAAGTGATGCGTGTTGGCACGGATCTTGTCAACGAACTCAGACGACTCGGTGAGCATTTCGAAGACCTTAAGCGACGCGCCAACCACAGACGGACCCAGCGAGTTGGAGAAGAGGTACGGGCGCGAGCGCTGGCGCAGTAGGTCCACAACCTCCTTGCGGCCCGTTGTGTATCCACCCGTGCTGCCACCCAGAGCCTTGCCCAGAGTAGAGTTGATCACATCCACCTTACCAGTGATGCCGCAGTATTCGTCACTACCGCGTCCAGTCGGTCCGAAAAAGCCCGTGGCGTGGCACTCGTCAATGAAGAGCTGGGCGTCGTACTTCTCGGCCAGAGCCACAATCTCCTGCAACGGAGCAACATCACCGTCCATACTGAAGACGCCATCGGTGGCGATGAGTCGCGTACGGCAGTGCTGCGTGTCCTTAAGCTTCTGCTCCAGGTCCGTCATGTCCATGTGCTTGAAGCGATGACGCTCGGCCTTGCAGAGTCTGATGCCGTCGATGATGCTGGCGTGGTTGAGCTCGTCGGTGAGGATTGCGTCCTCCTTGTTAAGCACAGCCTCGAAGAGTCCCGCATTAGCGTCGAAGCACGACGGGTACAGGATTGTGTCCTCAGTACCGTGGAAGGCCGAGATGGCGTCCTCCAGCTGCTTGTGGATGTCCTGCGTACCGCAGATGAAGCGTACAGAGCTGAGGCCAAATCCACGCTCTTTAAGCGTGTCGGCAGCCGCCTTCTCCACCGCCGGGTGGTTGCTCAATCCCAAGTAGTTGTTGGCGCAGAAGTTGAGCACAGTATCACCGTTCACGGAGATCTCTGCACCCTGCGGGGAAGCGATGACGCGCTCGTTCTTGTACGTGCCGGCGGTCTCGATCTCCGCCAGCTCATTGCGCAAGCGGTCCACAAAGCTGTTGCGCGTGGAGGTGGAAACGCAGCGGCGCAGAGAGGACGACAAGCGGGATGGCAACATGATCAGCAAGACCGAAGCTTCAGGAATGACCAAAATGACGTTTTGAATGCAGATTGGATGCCATCGAAACGCATCCAAACACGTGATTTTTCATCCAATCATATTTCCACAATAGTGATGTTGAAAATTTACATTTTCTGTATTGTCAAAAATCAAAGAACCAAATTGTGATTTTCAGCCGAACTCGTTATCTTACATGGAGCAAGCGACAACTTCGTCGTATCAGCCAAGAGGCTTAAAGAAGAGGTGAGCTGGATGCCATCAGAGACTCCAAAGTAAGCGAAAGCTGGTCGCATGCAAATTTCCTGAACGCAGCCGCGAGGCTCGAGCAACCATTCATTACCTTGTAGAGTAGCAATTTATAATTAACAAACTCATCAAATAGACCGTTATCCAGTGCGCGGCGTGCTTGTAACAATATTGCAAACGCTAGATCAGGTACCTAAATCATTAGAAAAAGAAGAAGAAGAAGCTCAAAGGCATGATCGAGGTGTATAATACATAGAAGCTTATAACAAAACAAAAAAAAAAACTATGGTTGTCACATACCTCAAACCAGTGGGCACTCATCAGCATTTTTTCCCAGACCTCAACGAACCGCAGTTTTTCGGCGTTACCATCAACTTCGTCACATTTTACTCGTTCTCTGAGCCGACATTTCCCCACTGAATATCGTTTGCAAATGCGTTTGATGGCAGCATACCCCTTATTGAGTTCGCGGATGAGATAGTCGAGCTTTCGTCATGGTTTCCAATCAAACAAACACGCGAAATGTCGGAATCTGGAAAGGACGTATTTCCGTCGACAGAGCCTCGTACATGGCCACCTTCCAGCCACTCATTAACACCCTCGGCAACTTAATATGACTCTTTGTATGGACTTGCTTGTTTTTATAATAAGTGACAATGAAAGCATATTTTGACCAATGATTCTTTATCCATGTATTTAACCGTTCAGATGGCTTGACATAAAAGCGGTCCAGCATCATATTTCAACCTTAATCTTTTGCTATCTCGTTTACTTAAATTAATCTAGAAAGATATCTCACCGTTTCAGCACATATATTCAGATCTGCCCAATCAACATATCTTAATCTCAAAATCTTTTGCCTAACTAGTCGTGTAACTGGACCGATTCCCGTAGCTAAAATCCGATAGATTTTCTTACTAAATTCTCTATGTATAAATTTTGTATAACCCGCAGTCAGAGGCCGTTCCAATAAATAAATCTATCGCTAGTAGTTGAAGTTGTGCCATTCCGCGCTCGTCGACAGAGCTGATAGCGCCCGACAAGACCGCCCTGCGTGGCAAGGCTTTTAGCAAGCGCCGGGCTACGCCCCCCGTGACTCGAAGAGCATAACTCAGGCTACGGCCAAGCGAGCATCTGCTAGTGCTGCCACGGCACGCTCAAACGGAAAGAAGATGAAAAGCAAACGTGCGACGAAGACGTCTCCTGCGGCAT